TGAAATGGGTATGGGGTGGCCTGGAATTGGGATGGTCCATACCCATCCCAATTCCAGGCCCCCCATACCTGAGGTTGGAATGGGTATGGGGTGGCCTGAGGTTGGAATGGGTATGGGGTGGCCTGGGGTTGGAATGGGTATGGGGTGGCCTGGGGTTGGAATGGGTATGGGGTGGCCTGGGGTTCTAATGGGTATGGGGTGGCCTGGGGTTGGAATGGGTATGGAGTGACCTGGGGTTGGGGGAAGGGTTGGTATGGGAATTGAGGATGGGGTTTGTATGGGAATTGAGGATGGGGTTGGTATGGGAATTGAGGATGGGGTTGGTATGGGAATTGAGGATGGGGTTGGTATGGGAGGTGGGGTTGGGGTTGTTGTAGTGACGGATGAGGTGTACCTAGGTGTTGTGGTATTGGTGTTATATGGGGTAGTTCCTGCTGTTGGTGGGGCTGTTCCTGTTCCCGTTGAACGGGTTGCTGGTGGTGTTCTCTACTGACCGAAGTGGGACGTCCTTCCGTACTAACTGAAGCCCCTTGTCCAGCTCCCTGTCTGCCCTGTTGGCATGGCGTCGATGTTATTTGTGGGGGAACCCAAGACGACTCTCCCCACTCTTGGGACGACTCCTAGCAAGACTCCCCACTCATGTCAATAATCGTATCTCTACTGGGATGGAAAGATATCCTCGCCTGCCCAGTCCCATGCGGAACCCGTGAACTCGTCTCTTCAGTCTCACTGACCCCACCTGTCACGTCAGCTGAGCTACCTGAGCGGTTCCCCGTGGTGTCGGAAGAGGTGCTGTCCTCTACACTTCCACTCCCACTGGTCCCCACTGACTGGTCACTGTCTGGGTTAAACCTTTCCTGTGATTCCCTGTGTGCCATATCTCTTGTAACTACCCTTTAGTACACCCTCGACCCGGACTCACTACAACCGTGATCTTACACAAATAAAAAACACAACTCTTTTCCAAGAGAAAACTACTAAATTCCCAAAATAGGAAATACACCGATTTTTCGAGAGAATCGCTGCAGTGAATTCAATGAATGAGTGTCTGCCCTGCACTTGTGTCTGACCGTGAAATATCCCGCAGTCCTATTACTGAAAGCAAAGTCCTCTACGTTAAAAAAAAATTAACGAATCTAATTTGTATAAAACAATTTAAATGATAACGCAACTACCGCGCAGCCCTCATGATGGATTAATAAAGAATATTTACTGTACTTGAATACTAAACGCACTTGAAGTGAGCAGCGTGGCCACTGATGACTGATGGAGCGGGACCAGCTGCGCTGAAAAAAAAACTAAGTCCCGCGCTTTTTCGCTTAAACGCTGAAAAATCTAAATTTTTATTCTGAAGGAAAATAACTAGGTTTACGTTAATAAACCGCTCCAGCGATTAATATACACACCCAGGACATATATTTGCTTGCCAAAATTTGAATTTACACCAAAAACTGCGTTTTTACTCAATGCTGGACTCTGCCAATTTTTCTGACTCCGAGGGAAAAAAATTCTATCACCCCAAATATCACAAAACTCCTTTAATTCGCAAAAATGTTTTTTTCGTTCACAGATGTAAATATGCTGTTATTTAATACTGACGCTGTATACAGAACAATGCTGACACATCGGGCAGTTTCTACACTCACTAATTCGAATTTTCGTCAAAATCCGAGATTTTCATCTCAAGTGGACTCTTGACAAAATTACAACACGATTTTCTCGAAAAACTAATTAAATTCGGCAAAAATGTAATTATCACTGTTTAATGCTCAAGAACAGAATTACGTCCCTTGCGCGCACTAGAGAGTAATACTGGCCCTAGAATATACACAAAACATGAAAATTCGAATTTTCGCCAAAATGTATGATTCTAGCCTAAGGCTGGACTTAGAAAAATTTCCACCTACGTTTCTACTGAAACAGAATTCTAAGTCTAAAAACACAATTCTACCGTCTTACTGGTAAACACTAGAATAATATCATCCGCATCGACTGAGGAATCCTAATGATGCCCAGATCATATACGTGACCCACGAATACAAATTAATTACAGTAAACTACTTTCCGACGTTGACTTAGCCGAAAACTTATCCCGAAATACTGAGAAATATTTCCCGAACTCTATTAAACATTTTCACGAAAATACTATCCCTTAACAACGCCTTCACTAACTATAGTGACCATCGTATAGCCCTAAGTCCAGAGGATTAACTACGCTCTAGAAACAACGCCTCTGACTTATACTAATACAACAGGGAATAGCAAAACTTAATGTACGCACTTAGCCTAATATGCAAGAAAATGCTAAACACTTGGGAAAATTTTTTAACCGGGGATTGAATTTAGGGGAATCAAAAATTAATCTCTAGAACAACGCAAATAAGCGGAATTACTTTATAAATTTAGTATACTTAATTCAAAGATACACTCGACTTAATCTTATAATTGCTCCTACCGGCCCGCTGTACTGCACTTAGCCTAGGGGTCTCGACCATCTAGGTTCTAACAGAGCGACACGCAGCTTTCAGTAACAATTAAGACTAGGGACGACTCAACCTCCACTATGTGTGCGATCACTTAGTTGTTGAATCGCTGCTAGGTAGGTTACTAGTCCGTCCCTCGGAGGCCGCAACGCCCTTCACGGATTTACGTTTTTCCTAGCGTTTTGGGTCGTCTAATAACGCCCTCGGACCTATCTCCTGGCGTCCCACAGATATATCCGCCCAGACAGCAAACAAGGAACTGCTCTTGAGAGTATGGCGGCTCCCAACACCTCTGAATTAATTGCAATGGGTCGAGTATAGTACCCAGTCCAATCAACTCGGAGCGGTCTCCTTAGCCAATAAATCTTAACAGCCTAATCTTACTAACTAAACCTAAATCGTATCAGCTCGCATGAACCCAAGATTCGCCAATCCCCACTCAAACGCTCTGTTGTGAGGCGCAAGACTAATCCTGGCCCGCGGCTGTCTCCCTAGCATCCGCGCACGTGTTTGAATGGCTAAACGCATGAGCCTTTCAACAATTTCAAACAAAATTTTTGAAACCACCGCTGTGCACCATTGAAACACGGGGAAGGTGTTCTCGAATGATCTTACCTGCCTTTTCCCCCTCTACCCGTATTCTTATTTTTTATTCTCTACCAAGGGACTCCAAAACTTTTACTAAAGCCGACTCCACGTCACGTGGTCCTAAGACGATTGACCGACTTAGGATTCTACAACCCGTATGACGTGACCTAGGCTTTGAGCAAAACCCTAGAATCGCCTCCGCCGCCCCCACCAGACCAGTAACACTGAGCAATGATCGAGGTCTGGATCGATCATGCTAATTAATCAACCTTGGGGCTTGATCCCCACTATAACCGATACCCTTTAAGATCTTAAGTGTGGAATTAATTAAACGGGAATGATGAATTCCGATTCGATGTTAGAATCGGCGCCCAATTCAACTGCCTCGTGTGGACCACGTGACCAGGACAAGTCCACATAAATATAACATACACATGGAAATAATGAAAATGCCGATTATTGACTAATTAATTTATTAAAAGAAAAACTAAAACAAAATCTAAAGATGAGCACTCCCTATCAATCTACCACTCCCTATTTGGCAATGAATTGACTAGCCCTATAAATAACAATAGCAACTATACCCCTATGTTGACCAGCTCAGATGTTGGGGCTGGTCTTGGGGGAGAGGTAAGATGGTTGACCTCTCCCAGTTGATCTCTGATCCCACACTAATCTCTCCTCGTCTGGTCTTCCCCAGACTAGAGCATTGTATCCTTCCGCATAGTCTAAGTTTTACCAAGTTACTAGCAAGGCTTAAGTTTAACAATTAACCTCTGTTTGTACTGAATTGATCCAGATTGGTTGAAATATTTTATTGAAGTTAAATTACACAAGCCTCTTAAGGAAGGCCTAATCCCGATAAAAAAATGGCTATTTAACCTTTGAGAAGTTACTGAATGTGGAAACTGTTGACCTATGACCGCCAAGTCGCTGAGGTCACTTCCGCGCTACTGCCTAGTTCTGGCTTCGTGACGTCACTGATGGTGACTTAACTCAAGTCTCCTAATAATTAGAATACTCTTGGTACTATAACCAGGAATATTATACAATACCATTTTAATACAAAATGAATAAAGGCTAATTTCTCTAAATAAGTGAATACTATAGAATGGTTCATTATACAAAACTATGAACAAAGATGTCCGCCATTTTGTGACTCAGACTTGCAAATCCCCAGAGGAATGCGCGTTGAGCGGTCAGGTTCTTACCCGACTTCTGGAACCTTCTGGATAATTCTTACAACAGCCTAGTTTGTTACACTGGTAGTAACAGTTGGTGTCCTGGTAGTAACAGTTGGTGTCCTGGTAGTAACGGTAGTTGGTGTCCTGGTAGTAACAGTTGGTGTCCTGGTAGTAACAGTTGGTGTCCTGGTAGTAACAGTTGGTGTCCTGGTAGTAACAGTTGGTGTCCTGGTAGTAACAGTTGGTGTCCTGGTAGTAACAGTTGGTGTCCTGGTAGTAACAGTAGTTAGTGTCCTGGTAGTAACAGTTGGTGTCCTGGTAGTAACAGTTGGTGTCCTGGTAGTAACAGTAGTTAGTGTCCTGGTAGTAACAGTTGGTGTCCTGGTAGTAACAGTTGGTGTCCTGGTAGTAACAGTAGTTGGTGTCCTGGTATTAATAGTTCGCATCCTGGTAATTAAGTTGGTGATCAAGTGGGCGTGCGTGCGCACCTGTCCGCCTCTGGAACTCTCGTCCTGGTGATCGTCAAGTTAGAGGTACCAGAAGAAGGAGAGTTTCGTGGAGTGAAGGCACTCAATTAATCAAAACTTATACTGTAAAAGATGTTAATCATTATTAAATTATCAAACTGGTTGTAAATTACAATAAATAGTTTTAAAAGAGTGCAACAATTGTGTACAATGTTCGTTGTGTGTTCTCAGGGAGCACCAACTGGGTGTACAACCCTGAGAGAGGCTTCTACCACCACACTGAGACTCTCTCCTCCGCCTGGGCACCTCTCACCAGCACTCAACTCAGCCAGTATGTCTCCGCTAACTACTCTCTCATCTTTAGGTACGTGGTCCTTGTTGTGTCCCTCACACTCACACACACACACACCCTGAATATGGGGCTTATGCTTTATATTCAGGAAGGGGTTAGGAAGGGAAGAGAGGACTGGGAGAGGGAATGTGCTCGGATCACAAACAAATTAGGACGGATTAACAGCATGGCTAAGGCAAGAGGATTAGTGGGGGATGGGTTAGTGAGTAGGGTTGGGATGGGGAATCTCCAGGGAAGGGGCTACCAGTATGACAGCGAATTACTGAGGAGATGGACTATTATAATACACGGATTATTCAAATCTGGGGCACCAACAAGACTAGAAAGGATTGAGATGGAAAAATATGAATTGCATGAGATATTGAGATGTATTGGAGTATGAATGGCAGGAAACGAGGTGGATATCAGCGGCCGTATTGGACCTTACAATTGTACCATGAATAGACCTGTTCTGGAGCAATTCTCCAATGAGGCGGATGTGGAGTACATAATGAGGAACAAGCATTTACTCAGAGGGAGTGAAACCCATTACAATGTGTTTATAGAGAGGTTTATGACGAAAGATGGGCAAATAGCCCACAAGAATAGATGGCAAGCACGACACCGTACCCCTAGCCTCTCAGGCAGCCTCACCTCTCAGGTCACCTCCCAGGCCACATCCCAGGTTACCTCCCAGGTCTCCTCTCAGGTCACATCCTCCCCAACTCAGCCCTTCTATACCTCCCCCCTGCCTCAGCCCCCCCAAAACCCCCCCTGCCTGATCCCCCCAAAACCCCCTTGCCCCTTCCACATTTGCACCTCTCCAACGACTCCCCTGCCCCTGCTACATCACACCTGTCAACGACCCCAGTGGGTCAAGCCATGCCCTCCCCAAACCCACCTTCCCATCCCCCCTCCCCTACTACCCCTTCCTACTCCCCTGCCCCTTCCTACTCCCCTGCCCCTTCTACCCCATTGCCTTCAATTCCATCTACTCCATCCCAGCTTCCACTGCACCCCTCTTCCACACACCCCCCAAAACCCCACCCAACCCTCACCCCTCCTATGCACCTCAAGCCCACATTTAACCCCCTCACCTTGTGACCCCCTAACACCTTCCCCCATCTCCCTCTCCCTCTTCCCCTCTTCTACCCCAAAACTCCTGCCTACCCCCGATTCCCCCCTAACTAATACACCCTCTCTTCCACTCCCAGCACCCATGCTCCATTCTCCTCTCAGCCCTCTGCCCTCAATATCCCTCTCCCCTGCAAACTCGCAACCTCTATCTGACTCTCAGTCTCACTCTACTTCTCAACCCCTGTATGCCATTCAGACCCTCCCTAACTTTCAGACCCATTATGCCCTTCCTACCCTCCTAGATGCCCAGACCCCATTCGCCTACCAGGCACACCCAGGCACCTCCCCAGCACATCCCCAGACACCCCCACAGCCCCCATTTGCTCCCCAGACCCCACCCCAGTTCCCCCCAGACCCCCGGTGAAAGGGGGAACTCTGGCACCAGAGTTTCCAAGAAGAGTCTCAAGGTTTGGTACACTAATGCTGATGGGGTATCCAATAGAGCAGAAGAGATAAAAGAAAGAGTTAGTGAGGCAGACCCAGACATAGTGGCAATAGTGGAAACTAAAATAAATGGCATGATCTCGGATGCGATCTTTCCAGAGGGGTACCAGGTGATAAGAAAAGAAAGGACACAGAGACAGAGAGGGGGAGTGGCACTCCTAATAAAGCGGAAATGGAAGTTTGATGAGCTGGAAAATCCGGGTACCAATGAAAGCACGAGCTCCATACATGGAACTCTGACAGTGGATGGGAAGAAGATTGTAATCTTGATACTCTACAATCCCCCACCAAACAGTGGAAGGCCCAGGCAGGAGTATGAGGACAGCAACAAGGCATGTATAGATGAACTGCAGAGGGCAGCAACAATAGCTCATAGAATGAGAGCGAAGCTGCTGGTCATGGGGGACCTAAATCACGGAGAGATAGATTGGGAAACAAGGAATCCCCATGGCGGGGAGGAGACCTCCCCGGTAGACATGGCTGGTAGATGTTATTGACAGGAATTTCCTAACACAGCATGTGAAGGAAGACACTAGGGAAAGAGGAGGGATTACGCCCAGCCTATTAGACCTCATTTTCACCCAGAATGTAGAAGACATCGAGCATTTGGAACATGAAATACCACTAGGAGCCAGTGACCATTGTGTCCTAGTCTTTGACTACATGATGGAACTTAAAATTGTGACCAAAGGACAAGAGGTCCGGGAAAGGAGACTTGATTAAAGGAAAGGGGACTACAGGAGGATAAGGGACTATCTGGAAGAAGTGCAGTGGGAGGAAGAAAATAGAGGAAAGACAGTCCAAGATATGATGGACCTACTCATATGGAAATGCAAGGAGGCCAACGAGAGATTTATACCAACAGTAAAGGAAAATAGTAGGAGGGAATATAATAACCAATGGTTTAATAGACAGTGTCAGGAAGCAAAAAGAGAAGCAGGAGGGAGTGGAGGAAGTACAGAAGACAAAGGACAGAGGACAACAGAATTAGATGCTATAGAGCTAGGAACGATTACATTAACATAAGACGAGTGTAGGAAAGAAATTATGAGAATGACATTGCAGTCAAAGCGAAAAAGCAACCTAAATTATTACATAGCCATATAAGAAGGAAGATGTCGGTGAATGACCAAGTGACAAGACTAATTAAGACAGAAGGGGCATATACAGAAAGTGACAAGGAAATCTGCGAGGTACTGAATGCCAGTTTTCATGGAATGTTCACAACCGAGCCTGAGCAGCTCCCATTGTTAGAAGAGAGTACCCTAGATGAAAAAGATATAGAGGTGACAGCAGAGGAGGTAATGAAACAGCTGACAACACTGGATGCCACTAAAGCAGTTGGACCAGACAAACTATCACCGTGAATACTCAGAGGCAGTGCAGACCCCCAACGTGCCTCTGGCCAGGATCTTTAATGGGTCAATTATGTCGGGAAATTGCTCCATTGCTGGAAGATGGCAAATGTCGTACCGATTTTCCAAATAAGGGATAGGGAAGGCACTTAACTACAGACATGTATCACAGACAAGCATTCCCTGCAAAATACTTGAAAGAATAATTTGGCTAAGACTTGTTGTACACCTAGAGAACGTTAGGTTTGTAAACAAACATCAACAGGGGTTCTGGAAAGGGAAATCATGCCTAACAGACCTTTCGGAATTCTATGATAAAATAACGAGGATAAGGCAGGACAGAGAAGGATGGGGCAGACTGCATATTTCTGGACTGCCAAAAAGCCTTTGGTACAGTACCGCACATGAGACTGTTAATCAAACATGAGAGGCAGTCGGGAGTAAACGGAAAGGCCCTAGCATGGGTAAGGAACTACCTAACAGGAAGGAGTCAGAGAGTGACGGTAAGGGGCGAGAAGTCGGATTTGCGAACAGTAACGAGTGGAGTACCTCAAGGATTGGTGCTGGGACCAATTCTATTTCTAATATACGTAAATGACAAGTTTACAGGAGTAGAATCCTACTCCTGTAATCCGCGAACATGTCGATGTTCGCGGATGATGCAAAATTAATGAGAAGAGTTGTGACAGATGAGGATTGTAGGATCCTCCAAGAGGACCTGAACAGGTTGCAGAGATTTTTTTTTATTATTATTATTTTCTACCACAGACGTGGTCACACATTTACATTGCTAACCAGCATATATACATTTTCTTCTGTCCTCCATGGACAGGGTTAGAGATCAGTTAAACATATAGTTCAGGGATTTATTGAACAATCAACCACAGAAGGCGATTCGGTACTTTTAAAATGCTAAGCTAACCTACATACGTAAATACATAGATACACAGATTTACGTATGCCCTACATAAAGTGTTCGAAGTGTCATTAATGTGCATTTACAAAGGTGAAATGCAATTCTGATCAGCTTCCATATGTACTTTATACACATACATATACATACACACACACATATATACGTACATATACATATATACATGCATATATACACACACATGCATTCACATACATTTGTCTCTTTTACTCTGACAGGGTGAGATAGCTGACTGAGAAACTAGTGTGCAATTAAGCACTTAATCACTGAAGGTGATTAAGGTGCTTTTACAAGCTCAGGTTATATAGTTACATCACATACATACATTGTATAAATGATACATTACATGGTCAATCTTGGATACAAGTCCAATATATCATCAAGTGTTCAAGTACTCATATAGTAATTACACAGTTCAGCATACCTCAGCCCAGGACGGCGAAAGTCAGACAATATGGGACATTCTACAATATAATGTTCAAGAGAGTGCATGTTTTCTCTTTCACAAAGTTGACACATTGTGTACTCGACATTTGGGTTTTGAGAAAGCTGCCAGATACGTCTATATCCCAGGCGAATTCTGGCCACCATAACATCACATGGCAGAGATGGTCAGAGAAAGGGCTACTGGAGTTCAACATGAGCAAATGTAAAGTTACAGAAATGGGATTAGGTGATAGGAGACCAAAGGGACAACACACAATGAAGGGGAACTGCATACCTGTGCAGATTCGAGAAAAAGACCTGGGAGTAGGCGTAACACCTAATATAACTCCCGAGGCACATATAAATAGGATATCGACAGAAGTGCTATACAATGGCAAAAGTTAAAACATCATTCAGAGACCTAAGTAAGGAGGAATTTAGGGTGTTTTACACTGCCTACGTGAAACCTGTCTTAGAGTATGCTGCACCATCATGGAGTCCCCACCTTAAGAAACACACAAGGAAACTGGAAACGTTCAGAGGTTTGCAACGAGGCTTGTCCCAGAGTTACGAGGGATGGAATATGAAGAGCGCATGAAGGAACTGAACCTTACGACACTAGAAAAAAGAAGGGAGAGGTTGGGATATGATAGGAACGTAGAAAATACTTAAGGGAATTGACTGAGTGGATAGACGAAATGTTCACATGGAATACTAACAGAACGAGGGGACATGGG